ACTACTCCATCTCGGGAAAGTCCCAGCTGGAGTTCTCTCCAAAGATGCCACAGCCTTCAGCGTGGCGCTTGCTGGAGTACAGGTAACCATTCACTCCAAAGGGCAGGAACCAGGTTTGCGGTGCCTCACCCTCCTCCTCGCCCCATTCGTTCTTTGGCAGCACTATCTTCGGGTAGTTGCCGTAGCTGTTCTTCATGATCCAGTGCTCTAGAGGAGAAGGAAGAGGAGAAAACATTTTAATAGTTAGCTTATCATCTCCCAAGTGCACGCTCACTTTTAGTCCAGCCAATGACGGTCATGACGTGGTTGATGGCCACCGACTGGTTGCAGGGCCGGTTCCACTCGCCGGTGAGCGCCATGAAGGCCTTGTCGGCGCGGAAGTAAGTCGTCAGGGGGCCGTACTTTAGGAGCAGGCTCTTGAGGATGTTCTCCCGCTGGGGGCCGTTCACCTCGGAGATGCTGCCCCAGTTTTGGAGGCGCGTCACCACCGGCTTGATGTCGCAGTGCTTCGGTTTGAACTGAGAAAAAAATGTGGAAAGAACCAAAAAACAGTAAACCGAAGATTTTTTCCCTGGTAGTACACTTACCACAAAGGTGAAATTCGAATCCGTTCTGCTAATCTTGCTCATGTAGGGCTCGTCATCTTTGGTCAGCACCAGGCCGTGGTCCCGGGCCGCCTGGTAGACGGCGGCCACGTCGCCGCCGTTGTGGCAGCTCTTATCAGTGTAGACGCCGTCCTTGTGCATGCAGTTGAAGAGGTTCATCTCGCTGAAGCTGACGCCCCGCTTGTTGTGCTTCAGCATGTAGCTGCTTTCCATGGCGGCCATCGGGCCGAAGAGGAAGCAGGTGCCTAACAATAACAGAAAAAGTGATTTCAGGAGTTTGTATGAGCAACTGTTTTCAACATTTAAAATTGTACCACAATACGCCTGGTTCTTCGTTTCGCTGATCACCCCCTGCTTCCGGTAGTCATAGTGACTGGGCAGACTTCCAAAAGTGCTCTCATCATAGGTCAGCCCCTGGTGGTCCGTGATCAGGTAGTCACCAAGAGGGGCGCCCCTCTTTCGGCCCATCGGCTTCAGGTACAGCTTTGAAAATTGCTCCTTGGGCTAGATGAAGAAAAAATTCACTGTTAAAAACTTTGCAAATAAAGGCTAAATAAAGTGTGTACCCAAATGGTGAACTCCGTGAGGCCCATCTGCGTCGGCTGAAAGTCCGGCCGCTCGTCGGTGAGGCAGTCCACCACCAGGCGGACCATCTCGAGGATGTTCTCCAAGAGGTGGCGGAGGTTCGCCTTCAGCCGCCCCAGCTCCTCCCGCAGCTCCTCCGGCCTCAGCAGGTGCCGCCCCCAGTAGTGGTGCTGGTGGTGAAAGTGGGCCTTCAGGTACTCCAGCAGGACCGTCTTCACCGGCGTCTCGAAGACGCTCAGCCGGTGGCCGCCGAGCAGGCAGTTGTAGCACGCCTCCAGGCGGCCGGTGGCCTTCACTCGGCGCAGCAGGCTGGCCACCGCCTCCGCGGACATGATCCTCTCGACGATGGTCGCATTCGGGTGCAGACTGTGACCTTTGCTCTCCAGGACCGCGTGAATCGCCTGGTGGACTTCGGCCAGGTGGTGAAGGCGACGGGCGAAGGTGGAAGGTTCATAGGCTTGGTGGTGGTGACAATAACAGGTGGTGGTGGAAAATAGAAAGATCAGTAAAGTGATTGCTAAATTCATTTTTGATTTTTCCTAATTTCTGGTAGCAATTTTTGCATACTAAATATCGTTTTCTCCTACTGTGCAACTGTATTTATATTTTAATTACCACCAAAAGGGCTTAATTTAGTTTCCAAGCGGTTTGAAGGGTAAAAAGTGGCCTGAAGACTTTGAGATAGTGAGTATCAACTCTTTTTTATGGTTTTACGTTTTGGGGTGCATTTTAATTTTTTTTCCATTTTTTTATTGTTCATTACTGTGCCACAAGGTCATGCGAGTCATTTATTTCAGTCAATTGGCTTTTATTTATTTTAATTGATTTTTACAAAAAATTAAACTTTTTTTGTTTAGCAATCCTGAAACTCAAACACTAATTTGGCTAGCTTTTTTTCTACCAATAAAATGCAGTCAAACACTTTCACAATCTTTCAGCTTATCTGCGTGTGCCTCTTCTTTCTGGCAGATATCTCACATCAACAAAACAAAAGTAAATCAACAACAACAGATGCCTTTTTCCTCGAAAGATTTCATCACATCAAAGAAACTTTTTGTCAATTGAAAGACCATGTTTCACATCTTAGCATCATTGACCAGTTTTTTTCGCATGAAGCTGAGCTGATAAAACGGAAAAGAGAAAGACTGAAAAGATGCTACGAGGAAAACGTCGGCAATGAGTCGGTGAACATCTTCAGCCTTCCACTGGGCACTGTACTTGAGCGGTTTGCGGTAAAAATTAAAGCTTTGAAAACTAAACTTTAACCTAACTTTTTCACTAGAAACACCACCACAATGAAATATTTGCTAGTAATGAAGAAAAAGATCACCATAAGCCAACAATCATCCACCGTCTGAAGAACCTGATCAAAACGGTAAAAAGCCTAGCCAAAGTGGTAATAGAATGCCTCAAGTCCGAAGAAGATCCAACAAGACTCGGTCTGACACGTTTCTCAGCACTCTCTAGCGAGGAGTTCGCCGCGACGTACCTCCTTCAACCGGAAACAAACAACTCAACGTCCTTGTTCAAATTTGGCCCACTAGGCCGAGTGCCGGGCGAGAAAATCCTCGGCGAGCTGCCGACCAGCGACGAGGAGGACTGCTACGTTGAAGAGGAGGAAGAAAATGTAAATAATGAAAAAATTCCACCCGAATACGACTACCGCCAGCAAAAGGGCGTGATAAGCCCGGTGGCCGACCAGGGCCACTGCGCCACCTGCTACCTGATTGCCGCCGTGGATGCAATGCAGTCCGCGTACATGCTGAAACATGGACAAGCACCACTAAAAAGAGGTAATAAAACGACAAAATCTACCCCCACCTCGATTCGCTTCAGCGAGAAAGATCTCTTCAACTGTCTGGGGGCGCTGGGCTACTCGACGGCGGACCGCATCTGCAAGGCAGGCCGCGTGGAGCACGTCTTCAGGGTGGCCGCAGAGCATGGGCTGGTGGAGCGGAACAAGGGAGAACCTTATGAGGTGTCGGCTGTTCAAAGACCGGTGGTGAGTGTTCTAGGTTAAAAACCCTACAGCTTAAGTCTAATCGACCTTTTTCCTCTGGTTAGCTCCGACCAAAGAACTGCCACCAGCCGCTTCCCTCCGGGCTGCTCGCCGCCCGCCTTCGCCTCTTCTGCAAAAAATCGAACCTGCCAGCTCTGCCCGCCGGCGATGGTGACCGCCTCCTGCGGCGCCTCCTCCTCAAGTACGGCCCCGTGGTGGTGCCCTTCCGCGCCGTCCACGAGCCCTTCTGGCTGAACCTCCGGGGGCCGTACAATCGGCGGTGCCGGCCGGGGGCGCCCATCACCCACACCGGCCTCCTCGTGGGCTACAGTCGAACCCATTGGATCATCAAGGGAACGTACGGCTCGGCGGACTGGGGCCTGGCGGGGTACCTTCTGGTCAAGCGGACAGTGGCCGCCTCCTGTGGCCTCTTTGGTCCGGGCAGCTTTGCGATGGTGCCCTTTTTCTAAAAAAGGAAAATTTTTTACCGTTTTTTGTGTATCTAACTAACTGCCCACCAAAAGCCTGCCTTTTGAGTGACATTGGCCGACCACTACTACTGCTACTGATAATTAAAATTACTGATTTTTAATTACTGATTTGATAAAAATGATGGCTGCCAGGCTAATGAGGCGTGATTGAACAGCACAAAAAAACTGTTTGTAAACTCACTGCTGTTGAGATGCTCCTTCACTACGTCATCAAGTGCACTAAATTAGAGTAAGTTTTGTGTTTTATGGAAAAATGTCTGCCTGTTTTGGTACCGGCATTTGAACAGCAAAAAAATTGTGACTTAAAGATAATCGTCTGTAAAGACAAAGGTAAAGTGACAACAACGGTGCAGCTAGAAAGGGCGCACTGCTACTGATGAATGGATTACAGTTTTTTTGTAGACAAAAAGAAGGGAAAAGGAGATAAGTGACTGCGCGATCATTAGCACTTTTCTCCTGCGGAGACTCTGCTAATTGTCTCCTCTGTTTTAGGTCACTTGGCAGGCTGGAAAATGCGTTGCCAGTGCACCTTTTTTAAACTAGCCTTTTTGGCATTAATACTCAATCTTTTGTCCTGCTTGAATAAGCAAAAAAATAAGCAGAAACAATGTTTAAACAAGTAGAGTTGCAACATATTACTCCTTCTCTCCCTGCTGAACATATTTGAACTATATTTGTGCCGTCTTTCTTAGCGGAAAAAAATACTAAAACGACAATAAAAAACAGTGGCAGTATAAATAAAATTGGCTTTCTGTTTTTCAAAGTTTTTGCCAGTTGAGCACCACTGGACCAGCAACACCAGCAACAACAACAACACAATGACAGCTTCAGGCGGAGATTTGCAGGCTTCAACTTCAAGCAAAAGTTTTTCCACTTCAACTTCAACTTCTTCTTCTTCCTCTTCTTCACCGGCAATTAAGGAAGAGGAAGAGGATCCGCTGCACCTTGAACCTGAAGAAATACCATCGCCAGACTCTCAGCTTATCGAAACTCCATCAAAACAACCGTACAAGCGGCAGCTCGTCTGGCGGAACATCATCGCCCTTGCCTTCATTCACATCATCGGCCTCTATGCCCTGACCCTGCTGCCCAGCTGCAAGCTGGCCACCATGTACTGGGGCTACTTCGTGCTGATGTTCGCCTCGCTGGGCGTCCAGACCGGCGCCCACCGCCTCTGGGCGCACCGCTCCTACAGCGCCCACTGGTCGCTCCGTCTGGTCCTCTCCCTCCTCCACGTCACCGCCCTGCAGAACGACCTCTACGAGTGGTGCCGCGACCATCGGGTGCACCACAAGTGGTCCGACACGGACGCCGATCCGCACAATGCCAACCGAGGTTTCTTCTTCAGTCACGTGGTAAAGTTTCGTTTTCTTTTGTTAAATTCTATTTTTCTAACACCTATCTTCCCTCATTAGGGCTGGCTGATGGTCCGCAAGCACCCCGAGGTAATCCGCAAAGGTCGCCTGATTGACCTGAGCGACCTGAAGGCGGATCCGATTGTCCGCTTCCAGCGGCAGTTCTACATTCCCCTGGTCTTCATCTTCTGGGGCTTCC